TAAAGAAGCGAAAAAAAAAAAAAAACATAAAAAATACAAGTATTTATAAATAAAATTTGAATGCAGAGTAATTCAAGGAAAGCTTAATTTAACATTTTATATAGCTTCTTAAAATTCGACTTTAAATATAAATTTTATTTAAAATAATTTCTACATTTATATTCATTAGGCTCAGATTCAGTTTAAATTATTATGGTAAAACATAAAGTTGAACCAAAAAATTAACTATATTTTAATAATTATGTCATGTTCATATATAATATCATATTATGGAGCATGCATATGCTTTCATTGCTTGCAACTATAATTTAATTAAATTAATTTTCTGCCTTGATTATCTACAGGGTATTTGCAAGTCGGTGCACGCCTGTTACACTCTTTTACTTCTTGTGTTCTTTGTGCTATTATAACTTTTCGCTGCCCTATTTTTACAAGTAATTTAAAAATAATTTGATGATGTCGCTGCTGCTGCTGCTGCTCCTGCTCCTGCTCCTGCTCCTGCTGTGGAGTGGGACGGGGCAGCGTTTGCACTTGGGATTAACGTTTTTTGCGAGGTCCAAAGTTTGCTTTATTGACATTGTCACCGGGGCTAGCGACAATGGCGGCATACCTGTAAAGCGACCACGGTCCACGCCGGAGACAACTGCGACAGCGGGCGGATAATAAAATTGTGAAACAACTTTTTAATGAGAAACATTTTTTGCGTATCGCGTGGCCCCTGCGAAGGGTTGAGATCTCATCAGGGCTGGGCGTGGGTGCTGCAAGTGGGCGAATTGTTAACGCTGCCACGAATCTAGGTGCTCTTGTTGTCACTCTCTCTCTCTCTCTCTCTCTCTCTCGCTCCCTCTCTGTTGCCTGTGGCCGTATGCCCCGGATACGGCTGCGGATACGGTTGGCAAGCGAGCGAGCAAACTTAAGTTACTTTCGCAATGATGCGGTAATCGCTTAAATGCAATGTAAATTACGCGAGTATCCACAAAAGAAATGGCGGAATTTCAAGAGGGCTTATATTGACTTTGGCCTGGTCACCTCAATGTGCCACTTCAGCGGCATAGTTGTGGTTAGAGCTAATGTTAGTTGGAAATCGTCTCTGTGTGGGTAATGGAGCATATTACAGTTTGTTTCTTTGCATTGCTTATCTATCTTCCCGCGGAAAGATAACGCTGCCACTAGCTGGCGTGCTGCTGCCAATCAATATATTTAATGAAGTGTAGAACTGGAGTAGGCTGACCTTAGAGGCAACGCTATCTGCCATACGATCAGTGCGTGCATGCCTCGACTGCATTCCAATATTCACAGAGTACTGCCAATGCTAATACGCCCTATTTCATATGCAATCAAGTTTGGCGCATACAGCTTTCAGATTATATTAAAGCAATAAACATTTTGACACTGTGGTGCGGGCAGCAGACACCTGTGGCTACGGCTGCGGCTGCTGATGAGCTGCGGCGCCATTAAAAACAGCCGCACAATCGATTTTAGTGCCATGGAAAATACGTGAAACAACAACAACAAGAACGTTTACCACTTGCCAGAGAGTGGAAAAGTTGTATGCCCAGACGATTGACGCGAACATTGGCACATGCACACACACATACATACACACACAGACACACATACACACACCTCGACATCGTCGACATCATAGCCTGCACTGAGCATGGGCAGGAGCTGGCGAGGAGCTATCGCTGCTGCTGGCCCTGTCGCTGATTCTGCTCGGGCTTATGGGCTACAATTAACTATGAAAATTTTACGCCGCACTGCAAAACTGCAAACTTTTTGCCTTAATTGCCCAGAAAAGTAACACAAATGAAAGCCATCGACGCTTAATTACTTTTGCTAAATGGCAGGGATGTTGCGGGACGGGACGTGGCATGGCATGGCATGGCATGGCGCTGCTGCATTTTTGCCTTTCTCATTCGAATGCTGGCCAAGTGGCAGGGCCAACTTTACAGCATGCGGGCGCAAAGGGCAGGTGGACAGAGCAGAGCAGATCAGAACAGAGGAGGGCAGCGGAGAGCAGAGTCTGGGCACGCTTTGAATTTGCAGGCAGGCAATTTACTGCATTCAGTTCATGGCATTGGCCAAGTCTCCATCTGTTAATACACTTTTGCACGGGATATTATGGAATCTGCACCTTAGCTGCTTAGCATTGAGGAGCGCGAGCTAATGCGCCTTTTGTTTCCAGTCATTCAAACCGATTTGTGAATCGCGTCGAGAATTTGCCTCTATCATGGAGGTAGTTCTTCTATGCGCTAAAACTGACTGCATTCTATGGCCCATTGCGAGAGCATCGAGTGTTCGCTGTGCTGTGAGCCGAGCTCAGCTGGCGCTCTTTTTTCTTGTGCTTGGCTAAAGTCAGACTGATTGCTGCCAGCATGTGAGCGGCAAAGCACGATTTGACTTTGGTAGACGTCACAATCTGAGAAGTTTTGCCAGCGCTGTGGCAAACTTGGCCGAAAAACTTGCCAGGCACTTGGGCTGCAAGTTTTTGATTAAATGCCTGCCACAAAACGCTATCCACGCACTGCGCCGAAACTTTTGCACCACTCGCAGCCAGAAAATTGTTAATTGAATGCACTTTGGGTGCGCAGTGTTTGCCTTTTACCCAAATGAGTGGCCATCTGGCAGCAGTTGGAATTAGCAAACGAAGTGGATTATTTCGAGCTTGCTGCCAGCCAGCCACGCCTACTCSATCGATCTAACAGGAGTGCCAAGAAAACTTTGCTTCAGTGCGAAAGGTTCTTCACTAAGGCTCGTATTGAGTTGATTGCAGCTGAGCTCATCTTGATGATAATAGGGCTACAAAAAAATTTCACAAAAAAAAAAAAATAAATAAATACATAAACAAAAATAAAAAAGTTAATAAAAAATAAAATTTAAAAAAAAATTAAAAAACA